CTTCTTAAAGTAATGCTCACTTGGTTGCCCCAAAATGTAGGCTCTTATCTGTTCTTCACAAAATGGATTGAATTGTAATCATGTGTCCAGACCTTTATTTGATATTGTTGATCCACAGGTCTGAGCATCTTGAAATTATGCATTTATAAGTATATAAATGTATATGTATTTTTATTTTTATTGTTGCGGTGTTACAGATGTCCCCCTTTTTCCTCCTCCATCCTGCTCCCACACAACCCCAGGCCTTCACTGCACTATTCTCCATGGAATAAGCCAGTCAGAGAAAGACAAATATCACATGATCTCACTTATGTGTGTAATCTAATGAACAAAATTAATTGATGAACAAATAGGGACAGAGACATGGAAGCATGCCACAAACTGACAGATCTCAGAGAAAAGGGGGTCTGAGAAGAGATTAACCAAAGAACTTATATGCATATATGCATATGTATTTTTTTAAAATCTGAGCATTTAATATAAATTTTAAATCTACATGTAGAGCCTCCCAAAATTCAGATAGCTCCACTGCTATTGACAGTGTACATTCAAATTAAATGTCACTCATAAGACCTTTCAGAAAGGCCACTTTCAGGGACAGGCTTCAAACCTAGTCTTACCCTGTAGTTAACCCTAGATTATCTTGCATCCACTTTTGTATGTCTTCACCTTAGAGTAAATTACCTCAGTGCATGGATGGTCATCTCAGTGTTTGCCATTCTAGAGTGTGCTCACTTCAATGCAAGGACCACAGGCCCTATGTACAGTGACAGGCACAGTTCCAGCTTGTATGTAGCTAGCCACCTCTGCAAAGCAGTAGGGAAGCCACAGTTTTATATTCAAAATTGCTCTCCTTTGTTTTCCTCATTTTGGTACAATCCATGTTATACCAAAAGCAGATTGTATCAAGAACTTTAAAAGTGTTTTCCTATTTTACTCATAATTCCACTTCTGAAATCTGTCCTAAAGAAGTAATCTTAAACTCAGAAGAAGTGTTTTTGGGGCACTGATGTTACTTAAAGCCTGAATGATTCACTGTAAGAATAAAGTAGAAAGGATTTTACTATTCAAGTCCAGGGGAATTTTTAAGTGAAGTAGGACACTTCCACGGGGTGAAATTTTATATGGCTGTTAAATACAATGCTTGTGAATTTTGTGAAATAATATAAGAAAGTGTGCATGATATGTTAAATAGAAAGAATAAGGTCCACAAATCTCTCTATCAAATGAAAGTGTATACAAAAATAACATGTAAAGGCAACTCCTATCAAATTATGGAGAGCGTGTGTGATACAGCGGCCGAGACACTAAAAAACAGGTACCAGAGTATGCAATGGAAACTGTCCTAGTCATGGTATCATAAATGATTTGTTTCCTGCTATTTTTTAGAAATTCTTTTTGCATTTCTTTGTGTTACCTTCATAATACTTTTCAGACATTAATGCGTTCTCCTCCCGAAGATGTGCAGGAACTTCGTGTTTGGAGCTGTCTGCCCAAGGCTTCCTATTATACAATCTACCTAGAGTCAGAATCCACAGGAACGTTCCCTTTTAACACAACTTTTCTGTCTATTGTTTGAGACCCAGCCTTTCCAAACAAGTCTGAGAAATAAATTTATACTAAAGTGTTAATAAATTCGTCTTTGCTAATATTTTTCTTTTATATAGATGTATGTATTTCTAAGGGGATCTTCTGGAGTTAGTGTCTTTTGATCAAGGGAAGGCTTCTATTGATGGCAATTTTTAGGCAACCAAGGAAAGATGTTTTAAATAAATAAATGGATTGCTTAGCACCCTATAAATCAAATCATACCCAATCCATCTGTATTTAGGCCTAGTCATGAGTAGGTGATTAATGAATAATTTTCATGCTAATGTTTCGCAGACCAAGACTGTGTCTATAACCACATAATCATCACAGTGGAAATTCTGATTCCGCTGTGATGCTTGATAGGAGGGATCTCTGAATAGTGCTTTAGATGATTCCGTGCAAAGGCTGTAGCCGGTGGCCCAGCTTCGCAAGTCTTTCCAAAAGTCCTAAAGCATGCTGGCATGTCCTCACTTGGCCCTGTCACTTCTGCTTAAATTTTTTCATGGAGAATGCTCATGATCATGGGACGTTAAGGTGAATTTCATCGTGGGCAGCTTCCCTCTGTGAAGTGAATCAGCGTCATGGGATTCCCCTGGACTCAAGCTCCCTGGTGGGTTTATTTTTACACAACATTCCTCTGGGGAAAGGGGCACCCACTCTTGATTGGAGGAACTCCAGAGAACATCTCCTTGGGTAGAAGGATGTTCCTCATTTTGCTCTTCTTTCTCTGGCTTACCTTTTTAAACAAATGGCTGTAGAATCTGTCTCCACTTACCTTTCCCATCTCCAATTTGGTTTCCTCCCTCCATCCCTCACTCCCCAAAATTACTCTTGAGATGACAAGTGACATCCATGTCCCTAGAATCAGTGGTCACTTTTCTGTCTTCCACTTGACCTTTCAACAGTATTGCACAGAGCTGACTGCTCTTTCTTTCTTGCAATATGGTCTTCCTCTCAGATCATGTGATTCCATACTTCCACTTTCTCATTCCCTACCCTTTTCTGGCCTCTCCTCCGCTGCTTGCATGCCTCAGGGTTTGTCCTGTAAACCCTTCTCTTCTTTGGCTACATTCTTTCCTTACCAATTCATCTATTTTTGTGGCTTTAAATACCAATTTTGTGTGTGTGACTTACTGATATGTTTTTCTATCTCAGCCATGCAGCCTAAACTGTAGACTTTTATATATAATGAGTGTCTGATTGGCATCTCAAACTTAACATGTCCTAAATAACTCTTGATTTTCCCCCTCAAACTTACTCATGGCTTCCTTCTTTACTCTGGTCAAGTCTCTAGTCCAGTAGTTCTCAACCTCCTGGCCCTTTAAATACAGTTCCTCATGTTGTGACCCAACCATAAAATTATTTTCGTTGCTACTTCATAACTGTAATATTGCTACTGTTATAAATCGTAATGTAAATATCTGATATGCAGGATGGTCTTAGGCGAGCCCTGTGAAAGGGTCGTTCAACTGCCAAAGGGGTCGCGACCCACAGGTTGAGAGCCGCTGCTCTAGTCAAATATCTTCAGAGGGGGAACTTTTCCTGATCATGTTATTTAAAGTTATACAAGCCTCCTACTTCTGTGGCCTTATCTGACCTTTCTTCCCTAATCAGAGTAGTTCCAATTCCTTTGGATCCAGTTCCTTTGAGTCCAGTTCCTTGAATCTTGTTCCTTTGAATCAAAGTCTAGACACAGGATTGGGGGAAGAAGAAGACATATGTAAAACTTTAGGCAATAAAGAATAATAATAATAAAATCTAGACACAGGAAACTGTAGACCTGGGAAAGAAAGAAGGTCCATGTCTTGAGTTCTAGTCATACTATTACCATCCCAAAAGACCTATGCATTTCTATAATTCTTTACTCAGTATATTTCCTCTTTTTTGAAATTACTCCCAACTTTTTTTATTCTCCTTGTCTGGCTGGCTAACTCCTCTTAACTTTTTTTAAAAAAAATTGAAACTTTTTATTATGGAAAATTTGTAACATAAAATTAGTATATGAACCTCCTCCTCTTTGACCTTTGCAATTCAACTTGTTATCTTTTCTGGAGAACCTTTCCTGGCCACCACCCAATCCCAATCTGAATTGGAAGCCCCTACCCAGTATCCCATGACATTACACTATATTACAATTTGTTGATTTCATCATCTCTTTGTTACTAGACACTTATGAGTATTTTCAGAGGAGAGATGACCAAAAGCTCTGGTTAAATATTTTTCCCCAACATTCAACACAGTGCCATAGTTCAGATATTCAATAAATACTTTGAATGTATGAGTGTTTGTGTAACCCATACATATATTAATATATGCATTGTAGGGCTAGAAATCAACGTGTCTCCTATTAGCTAAGAATAATGTATGCCAAAAGCCAGTCTCTGTAGAAAAAATGAAACTATCCACAAGATTTTGAAGGAAAGAGATTAGAGATATGCCTAGGAGGAGGCGCCTCTGCCTCCTTGTGAGGTATGTTTGTTCTGCACTAGTTCTAAACTCAGTGTAAAGTTAAGCCCCTCATTTGGTATTCACACATTCACTCACAGCAAACACTGTGAGTTCAGGAGGCTTTGTGAAAGCAGTGGAGATGCCCCAGAGGCCATCCTTCTCCAAATCAGTTGTTCTTCTCTCTTGCTACCCTTTTCTCTCTGTGTCCATCTCTTCTCCTAAAAGAGATCAAAATTCTTCTTCATCTGTTATGAGAGACAAGATTCCATTTCCCTGAAGCCAGAATACTGGATAACACCCACCCAAGTCCTCATTTGGGGATGGTGGGATGCTTGACTCCAAGAATTTATCAGATTTTTATTTCCACTAACGATCATTTCCTTTCTAAGAATTTGGAATCTAGGGACATAAGTCACAAAATGATTTCACATGTGTTAGCAGAATGTAAATGAGAAGGGTAGGTGAATGGGAAGCATGAAAAGAGACGCGGTTCTCCCTATCTGGGCTTAGTTCTCATGCTGGGATATGGGTGTCATCCTGAGGAATAGCCAGTTTGGTGGTTCAAGGCAACTGAAATGCCTGAGAACTTCTGTAAAATTAATTTCAAACTCTACTTGGAGTATGATCTGAAGAGGATTGGGGCCCTCATCCTTCAGCAGTTTTTTTCATCTCCTTTTGAGAGACCAAAAGCAGAGCACTTCACCTGTCCCAAGCCAGAGGTTTTGCAGCATCTCTGAAAGGAAAATTGAAGATGCATTTGCCAGTTCCTGAAGAAAGATGAAGAGTGAGCTAATTACTTTTGTTCCTGTTATTGTTTTTGCTCCCTCCCCAACCCACCCCCCTTGAATTTGGATAAACAGTGATCAATAAGGATTTCACACAATCCCCAAGTGCATAGCTCAGAGCACAGAATCAGCAAATACATGGTCTTAGGAAGTCTAATTCCAAACTTCTTTTCACAGCAAGTGAGAAACAGATGGCAGTGGTGTGCAAGGAGTCTCCAAAGCAGTACCTCCAGCCTTTCAAGGACAAACTAGAGGAGTTCTTCCAGAAAGGTAGGAAACCCCGAAACATCCTTCATTCCACAATTTTTCTCTGGGGTCCCCTGCCCCCTGCATCCTGGCTGACCACCGACAGTTTCAATGATTCCATGAGTCCATCTTCCCATGGTGGTTACACACTAAATGTATATGGAGTTGTCCCATAATTTTCATATCATCTTTCAAATCTGTCTTCATGTTGTAAATTTTAACATTACTTTTGTTTTTGTAAACTTTGGGAAGAAGACTTTGTCTCTTCATGGAACCCAAGAGGATCCTTAGAACATATTAACTGACAAACAATGTCCATGCCAAGCGTAGGCAGTCATGCATTTCAGATTCACAGTCAGCCTGGGCAGGTGGATGGTGATTTTCTTCCTGGTTTTATGAGTGTAGCAATTTGGGAGCTTGTATTGTAAATTTTCCATTACTTTTCAGGAAAGAAAATTGGGGCCAGGTGAATGTCACACATCCAATCACTTGACACCCATCAGCCCTTCGGGGTCGGTAGATGGGAGTGATAGGCACGAAACCCAGTACTTATTTAGAAAGTTTATTGAGTTGTGCTTCTTCCTCCATGATTTTGGCAGGAATAGAGAATTCTTGTTGATCATTGTTAGTGAATGTGGAAGTTTAATGCATTTTGGATATTTCCTATTCTAATTTCTCAAATTCAGCTTAAGATGTGAAACAAAAATAAGTGTGGGGCATAAATTCCAGTAAGCCCCAGGAATGTAATATACAGCATGGTAACTATAGCTAATACTACTTTATTGTATTTGAAAGTTGCTGAGTAGGTCTTAATAGTTCTCATTTCCAGAAAAAAAAATTATAACTGTGTGGTAATGGATGTTGACTAGTCTTATTATGAAGATCTTTTCACAATATATACATATATTGAGTCATTATGTTGTACACCTGAAACTAATATAATGTTATATGCCAATTACATTTCAGGGGCCAACTAGCGGTGGGGTATCTGAAGCTGGCTCATAACCCAAATTTTAGCTCGCAACTCAAAGCAAAAAATCAGCCGAGAGACGGCTGTATCTCGAAAAACTCGTTAGTCGGAACACTCCTAAGTCAAGGCCCCACTGTATATAAAAAGACAGCTACCATAACAGCCATAACAACGTAACAACGGGTCGCTATGATGCCCACTGAGGCCAGCAAACTGGCTGATCAGAGGGTGGGGTCTGCGGCCAACCTCAAGGCCCCTCCCCTCTGCCAGCCTGCCCCTGATTTGGACTCTCCCACCCCAGTCAAGAGTGGGGCCTGCGGGCCAAACACCCTCTCCCTTCACCCTGCCCCCCGCCACCCCTGCCAGCCGCAACGCAACCCGGATCAGCCACCACAGTAGGCCCGCAGCCCCTCCCTCATGCTGGCCCACCCCTGATCTCACCCCCCACCACAATAGGGGGCAGGGCTGGACGGTCAACCTCCTGCAGCCCCTCCCCCTGGCCACGCCACTCCTGATCACACCCCATCCCAATAGGGGGCAGGGCT